TATTATTATTATTACTATTATTATTATTACTATTATTATTATTATTATTATTATTATTATTATTATTATTATTACTATTATTATTAGGTATTTAATTTGCTGTCAAGGTACTTTATAAAGCAAAACCAGGGCATTAAGGAGTGGGGGGTATGCCTTGTTGTTTTATACGAAGTAGTTAGGGGGTATACATAAATGGGAGAGATTCCACGTAGCTTTCTTTTGTTTGAGTAACTCAAAGTATGCATTTGAGGACATTGTAAATGGACCCTTGAATTAGTTGTGACCCTTGACACTTTGCTTATAAAGGAAATGAGATGTAAGATGAGGTTTGAGTTCTAGGGTTTGTTGCCCTCCAAAGATGGGGTATATATGTATCCATGGTCCCCTCGTGCATGCATGCACATGAGCCCTCCGGTCCCACTCGAGATATTTTTCATGATTCAAGTGACATCAACTTATTATGGGATATACTAGGGGTACATCAAATGTGTACCCCAAATGTACACCACCCTCTCTTTACCATTCATTTTATTTTATTTTTATTTTTAATTTTTTTTGAACTTTTCTTGCTTTCTCCCTCCGCCTCAAAAAGATTTACTCATTTTATTTTTTACGCATCTCATAAAACATTTTTATCTCGTCTCAAATGTCATAAAACTTTTAAAATACCTTCTACTCACAATGAAAGTAAATGTAGTAGATTTTAGATATTTTAGATTGAGTAGAAATATTTTACGGGATGCGCAGAAAACGAAACGAACAGATCTTTTTTGGGACGGAGGGAATAATTTTTTTCGTCCCAAAAATATCGTCTCTGTTAGAATATAAATAACTGTTCCTGGGCCACAACCACAAGCTTAAGCTTTTGGTTGAGTTGGTTCCTTGACAGTCTCAGTTATTGTTCGGGTCTCACAATAATTTTTGTTTATTTATGTAATATTTTCATGAATTATTTAATACGTAGTAATACAGAGTATAAAATATTATTCACTCTAGTTGAACTACTCCGTGATTAAAAGAGCGCTAACATGTTTCTAATAATTTCCCCATACTATAAAATATAAACTGAATTTCCCCATTTATCTATTGCCAGCTAGCAATCAACTTCAGTTTTGATTTCACATTTTTTTTAAATTACACTAGCCAGTTGGATTCTTTTTACTTTTGTTATCAACCTTGGCTTGTTTTGGTTAATTAATTTTGAATTATTATACATTAAATTATACTTCATACTCTAAGTGAATACGATATTGCAAAAACAGACAAAAAAAAAAATAGAATTATGTTTATTATTAGCGTATTCCACATCAGATTCAATTTTGGTTCTAGAGTTTAACAAAGTAATCGGTTAGATTCAACTTCGTTTCAATCAATGATCTTTACCCTTTTTAAATTTATTATTTATATATGCAAAATGCATTACGAATAAAAATTATTTTATACTCCTTATTTAATAAATTTTCAATTAGTTAAATATAATCAATTATATCTAGGTACCAATTTTCAAATTAGTTTACTACACCCTAATAAAAAACGATAAAAGATGCAAGCAAAATAATTAAACTTAGTTTTAAAAATGTTACCAATTTTTTGAAACAACTAATATAAACACAATTCATCTTAGGCCATTCCTAATGAGACATGAGGAGGGAAGTGTGGTCCTTCTTCCGTGATAGCCATCTAGTCATGACATTGCTTTTATTCTTTTTTTATTTATTTATTTCAATTTATTAAAATAATTTATATCTTTCATCCACGCACCTTGCCACCTTGGCCACACCTTTCTTTCAAATTTCATACCTTAAAGAGAAATCTTCTCCTTGCTCAAAAAATATTTTTTTACTCCCTCCGTCCCATAAAATATTTTAAGTTATGATTTTTAAAGAATTTAAGAAGAGTGTATTTTGGTGTTGACCTAAAAAAATTCTTGGATGTGATGGGTAAAAATAGCTAGGATGTGATAGAAAGATTAATAGTGAAAAAAATATGACGTGATAGGTAAATTCAGAATTAATATGACTAAAAGAGACTTTATAATAGAAATGATTTTTTTTTGGAACGGACGAAAAAATAAAGGACAAAGATTTTGTGAGACGGAGGGAGTATCATTTTTCACAGAATCGAATAAAACATAAAATTATGTAAAAGATATTTATACAAAGGGAAATGAAATGAAATACCTCATTAATTTTATTTTGAGACGACAAAAAAAGTGTCAAATGTGTTTTGTGATGAAAGAAGTTTGTTGTTGCAATTTTTAATAAAATACGTAGTAGTAGACAACGGAAAATTTAAAATCTTCATTATGGAAATTATTGGGGGTGGGAATGGAACATTGGTTTTCTCTACAAAAAAGCTCAAGTTGTCCCTTGAGCTATTTGTGAACTTCAATAAAAATAAAAAATCTAAAATAATTTTAAAATAATAATTTAAATAGTAAGTTTGTAAAATTTGTGAGTATTTTATTTGTGAACCTAGCATTGTTTGGGGGGCTTAGACTGAGCCTGAGGTCGGAGGTTTTGGAAATATGTTAAAGTGAGTAGGAACCATCAATTTTGTGAACGTTCCAAAAATGCAATGACACTACTAGTTTCACTACATCCTAAAAAAGTGATGGATGGAGAACAATATTTTAAGAGGTTGGGGGGGGGGGTGGGGGGGATTGGGAGTACAGCCACAAGTCCATTACCCATTGTTTCCTAACTCTTGCGTCCTAAGTCTAGAAGGACTAACTCATAGGTTGGATTAAATCGAGGTTTGGGCCCATATTTAACCTACCAATCTATTTTTCGCTTTTCAAAAAGGGCGTTATTTTAAATAGGCCCTTCCAAACAGTCAATTATTTCAAGCAGGCCCTTAATTCGGAGAGGCCCATTTTTCATTTTTCATTATTTTCACACAGGCCTTTATTTCGGTTACAGATTCATGGGCCGAAATAGGTATGTAGTAGAATAGTATTTTTTTTAAAATACGTTTCAAGCATGTTCCTTAATTTCAGCTTCTTTTAGTTTTTTTTCAGTTTCTTCTAATTTTATCCTATTTTTTTCCAAGTTTTACTTTCTTAAAACTCTTTCTAATTTTTCCAAACAATGACTCTAAAAATAATGTATTTTTAATGTTATTATTTATTATTTAAATTTGTATGGTTTAATTTTTTCTCATGTTACTATCTTCGCATTTAACACCACTATTATATTTTCTTCCACTTTACATGATAGTAATTCTAGTTTATAAATTATTTTAATTTATCTATTTTTATTTCTTCTCATATCACTTTTTTTGTAATTCACAAACATTCTTATTGTCTTCCATTTTAAATCAATACCAAACGGAGGGAGGAATGGGGACTCTATTTTCCCTCACTTACCCTTCTCTTTCAATAAACACCCGATTGTCTTCTATTTTTATCTTTAAAATAGCAATTTCTACTGTAGCAATGTAACATTGTATATAGACATTTTACAATACATTTTAGTAATGTACTTGTATATACATTTTAACTTCTATTTTGAGAATAAAAATATAAAACTTTTATTTTGATGTACTCTTATTTTAGTCTTTTTTCCCCTTGGAATCCAATTCCCCTCACTTATCCCTTCTCACCCCAGTGGTTGAATTAAATTATCAATCACGCTACACTTACACCAAGAAATGTATTCCAAAATTATACCAAAACTATGTGCTAATATTTTGATGGTTTACACTAGCACTAAATGCTAGTCTGCTTAAAAAATTACACTAATATTTTGTACCTGCATGAACGATCACCGTAGAATTATGCTCGCATAAAATGACGCTACACACTTGTGGTATACAATTTGGAGTACAAATTTTGGGTACAAATAGTTTAAGGAAGAACTTTCTAGAAAGAAATTTCCCTAGGTAGCACTATAAAACCACCTATATTAAATAAATAGCGCTCCCTTAGTTAGTTTTTTTACTTAAATGAGAATTCCAGCGTGAAGGCATTCCAATTATATTTTTTTAATAATTTTTTTGACTTTTTTAATTTTAGGAGTTGAGTTATTTTTTTTAATGAATGTAACGGTTACGTTTTATGCATTCTTTTCACAACTGTGCCGCTCAAACTCTTTGTGACGACAATATGGTGACAACAGCAGTGTGACTGGGGTGGTGATGATCGCGAAGGCAATGTGGTATTAACAAGGACAATTTGGCAGGATAGTGGTCATGAGGTGTAGTCATGATAGTGTGCAATAAAGATGAACCACTAGCTTATAACTTCTTACAATATCATGCACATAAGTATACAGTATAATATCACACAACAGTCATTAAATAAATTCACAAGTCACAAATCATTACCCTATTCATCTTTATTTATGGTTCTTAAGACTACTTTATTCACAACCTTATCTCAACTATTACCTTCTTATGTTAATGTCTATATACTTGTGACGAATATGAACTAAAATTATTCTCTCAACTGTTACCTTCTTATGTTACTTTTTTTTAAAAATTTGATTAAAATTATTTCTAATTAAAATTATTTAAAAATTGATATGAAATTAAAAAATAAAATTTATATTTTTAAAAATTATATCTAACAAGAGATAACAAAATTATTCCTTTATCAAATTAGTAAAAAAAATACTCCCTCCGTCCCTTAATAATGTTCCGGTTTTGACTTTTGGAGGAATTAAGGGAGGGATATTTGTGCTTTGACTTTCCCTTTTTACCCCCCAACCCTAAAATAAAGTAGAGAAAAGCAAAAGTATGAATAGTGTAAAGTGGGATTAAATAATTAAATGGAGTACACATGCAATCAAATCGGCAGTACACTGATGAGAGGAAAACAGGAAGCAGCCCATACTTCCTGTACGGCTGAACACAATTACAGCCACCAATTTTTTTTGGGAAAATTTGAACTTCCCTCCAACCAAAAACCCTCCAAAACGAAAATGGAAATACATCAAAATCAGAATTCTATTTAAGGAATGCATTGAATGCATTCACTTATTCTTTCTTCTCTTCTTAAGCTTCTTCATGGCCCCTCCTGAATCTTCTTTGGATTCATCCACTTCCTTTTCCTTTTCAGACGATGAGTCATCCTCGTTTGACAATCTTCCCCAAGTGATTGACGTGCCTTTTCCTAACCTCAACACTCTTGCAACAGAAAGCGAAAACAACGGGAAAGGTTGTGTACACAATGAAAAACGAAAAAGGGTGGTCGATGTGTTACTGCAACAGTCCAAAAACGGCAAACTTCAGCACGGTGTCATTAAGAAGGTAGCTGAGGAATTCAGCTTTTCAGTGAAAACAGTCAGCAAGCTTTGGGCAGTAGCTACAAGTCAACTCGAGGGTGGTCTACCCGTTAATGTTGAATGCAAAAGGAAAGGGAATAGTGGCAGAAAAAGGCTCCCTCTGGACATGGAAAAAATGGCAGCAGTGCCTTTTAATAGGAGAAAGAACATGCGTGCACTTGCCCATGCTATGGATGTGTCAAAATCCACCGTCCATAGATGGCTTAATAGGAAAAACATCAGGAGGCATTCAAATGCCATCAAGCCACTACTATCTAAAAGAGGTATGCTTAATAGACTGAAGTTCTGTTTGGATCATGTAACTGCTCCCTCTGTCCCCATTAGCCCAAAATTCCATGACTTTTATGACCATATTTATATTGATGAGAAATGGTTTGACATAACAAAACAAACCTCAACATACTATGCACTGCCAGATGAGGCAGACCCATACAGGACCATCCAAAGCAAGAGTTTCATACCAAAAATAATGTTTCTAGCTGGTGTTGGTAGGCCTAGGTATGGGGAAGATGGGGAGCTTCTATGGGATGGGAAAATAGGCATTTTTCCATTCACTTATGAAGCTCCAGCTCAAAGGTCTAGTAAGAACAGACTTGCAGGAACAATGGAAGTAAAGCCCATCCCAATCATAAATAGAGAAGTGATGAAGATGATGTTGCTTACTAAGTTACTGCCAGCCATTAAAGAAAAATGGCCAGGACCATCAAGGAATATAATAGTACAGCAAGATAATGCTAAGCCTCATGTGGATGGCAGTGACCCTGATCTTATGGAAGCTGCTCAAGAAGATAATTGGAACATCCAACTGAAGTTTCAGCCACCCAACAGCTCGGACCTAAACGTACTTGATCTTGGATTCTTTAGGTCCATTGACTCTCTGCAAGACCAAACAGCAGCTAGGTCCTTGACAGAGTTGATTCAAGCTGTTACAACAGCTTATGAAGAACTATCACCAGAGAAACTTAATAATGTATTTTTGACTCTTCAAGGGGTCATGGGTGAGGTTCTAAGTCACAAAGGAGGTAACCAATTCAAAATCCCTCACATTGGAAAAACAAGGTTGGCCAGAGAAGGGACACTGCCCCAAAACTTGGGGGTTACCAGACAAGTCTATGAAACTACAAAAATGTTCTTAGAGGAACAAATATCAGTACCTTGATTTAGTGTACTTTTTGATATATGTGCAAACATGGCCAAGGAAAGATACAATGTTTCCTATGTACTTCCAGAGACTTTTTGCACAATTATTGGATGGGAACAAGTGTTGCAGGGACATTTGAAAGCCAGAGAAGAACTTTTGAACATGCAGATTTTAGGCAATGGGATATTTTTGATTTTTGTGGTATTACAGTTTAGGTTGTAATGAAAGTATACATTATATTGTACTGCAAGTATACCTTATCTTTGGTCATGTATGTAAAAGTACCCTTATATTGTAATCAGGTTTAGTAAATGGTTTACCAAGCATAGAATCTGTTTTACTAATTGAATAGGCACCCATATGATCTGTTTTACCAAATCATAAGTCAAGCATAGCATCTGTTTTACCAAATCATAAGCCAAGAATAGCATCTGTTTTACCAAATCATAAGCCAAGCATAGCATCTGTTTTACTAATTTTAAAGGCAACCATAGGATCTGTTTTACCAAATCAAAAAGCCAAGCATAGCATCTCTTTTACCAAATCAAAATGGTTTTTTGGCACAAAACAGAAAGGGTAGACCAGCGAAATTGATTTTTGTAAGTCTCCAACCAATAAGGGGTGACATTACAATATAGCTACAATGCCCAATATACCTCATACCTTTAAATCAGTCAGAGTAATGGTTGTTTGCATCATAAGTTTGCCAAAAAAAACTTAAAATTGGACATGCAAAGCAGAATCAAAGACTGAAAATTAAGAGAAGGGAGATAGTACTCTTTCTGAAGCGTAGTGCCTTCTCGTCATTATCAAAAGGCTCACGGAAGAAAATTTCAGTATCAGACATGTCCAATATCTGTTCTGAAGTAACTGATTCCTCCTCTTCCCCATCTTCTTCGTCACAGCCCCCTTCATCCTCTGAGGGAAAATGGCCTCCCCCAAGGTACTTTTTCCGATACCACCATGTCGGATCTGTATCGGATGTTCCAGATCCGCTGTCACCAGAGTCGTATTTAGGGATAACAGGTTTGAGAGAATTTGGGGTAGGCAAACGAGAAAGCCTTTCTTCGTCACTATCGCTTAATAGCTTGAAGCTGGGCATCGAAGAGTCACGAATCACCATGGGTGGTGATTCAATTTCTCAAGAAGAAGGGAAGATAGATCGGAACAGAGGAGGAGAGGAGAGGGGGTACAGTGCGGCAATGGGGAAGTGGAATGGGCAGGAGAGAGAAGGTGGAATTATTAGGGTAGGATTGGGGTGGGTTGGGTAGTTTTTAGGTTAAAGGGCATAAATGTCCGGTTTTGGGAAAAAAGAACTTTATTTAGGGACGAAGAAAAAACGAAAGTGAAACTTTATTTAGAGACGGAGGGAGTAGATAAATAATGTTGTTAAGTTTGACCTGTGATGACTAAAGAGACAATTTAAATTGATAGAGGAGACTATTAAATGAAGGGCAGAATTGGTAAAAAGGAACTGAAGATTAACCACTAAACTCATGACCATTAAAAGAAAAGAAAGAGAAGCTGCCATTTACACAAAAGTGATCTCCAGCCCATGCAAAGATGTTTCAACTGATGGAATATACACAAACTACACACCACATTCTTTTTTGATCACTGCTTTTTTTTTATGGATCCTAAATTAATAACTCTATTATTACAACATTTCATTTATTCCACATGTCATTCACCCATTCCCTAGCAGTAAAACATGACCCTCTTCACGTTTTCCTTCAGCGCCGGCAGCGCCCTTACTCCTCCTCCGCCGCCGCTGCCGCCGCCTTTACTGTTCTTGCCGCCTACTCCGCCCTCCGACACCTCCGGTTCCATGTAGCATCTCGCCCTGAACGCCGCCAGATGCGCATAATAAGCCGGCGGGACTGCATTGCACGTGACCACGGTTTATTAACACAACATTGCGCCACTTTTTGAAAAATCAACACAAAAATATCTCATAGCAGTAAATCTTGTAGTTGTTGGCTCAGAAATGGATTTTATAGTCTAACATAAGAAGACAATTGACTTACCAACAGAGACCGAGCGGGTGCACCGCGCATACGTATAACAAAGGTTGTTTGTCAGCGACTGAATCCCATCCGCGCTGAAGTTGTTCTCGTCCCACAAAACATGGTAATGAGCCGGTCGACTCGTACCCTGCAATGTTCAAACATTATACGGAGTATATACTAAGTTTTTTTTGTCACTTCTTATTTCGTACTTCGTATTTAGAGAGCGTATCATTTGAGATTCATTGCAACAAGGTATAATAGTAATAATAATAATAATAGTAGTAGTAATAATAACAATAATAATAATAATAGTAGTAATAATAACAATAATAATAATAATACTAATAATAATAATAATAATAACAACAACAACAACAACAATAAGAATAATAATAATAATAATAATAATAATAATAACAACAACAACAACAGTACCTGGATTCCAGCATGGCTGCAAAGATAAAAATCGAATTCCGTAGGGTGACAGATTTTTGAATCTACGACCGTACCTGAAAAAGACTAACTTAAGCCTTGTTTGGGAACACCATTTTGAATTATTTTTTAATCTTGCAGATTACACTGGCATTAGATATCATTTTCAAAATGCCATAGTCGCCAAACGGGAAATGCAATTGAGTCTTACCGGGCAATATGTTCCCGCTCTTATCGATGCTGCTACGGTCTTTATGATTGTTTGGGAAGAGCCGGGTGTGATGCCGTTTTTGCACCACGATAAATGTTACCGGTGGTTGGTAATTTGGCTCCAAAGACGCACAAGCCTACACACACCACAAAGAACATACCTTTTGTCAAATGCCAAAAAAAAAACACCAATCAAATCCAGTAAAAAAGAAAACATAATCCAAGTGCACATATGAAACTAATTTGAGAAACCATACCTTCCGAATCGCATCTAACTCGAAGAGTAGGACTTGATAGAATTGCCCTTCACTCACACCATCCCTGCTTGTAATTATTAACCATTTGGTATTAGATTTTGTATAATATTTTTCATTATTATTACTTTCTTGAATGTCTTGTAGAGGGTAAGGTTTGTATGCATTCTGAGTAAAGATCCTACTTTTGAGTGGGATATCCTAAGTGTGTTTGGTTTGGGACCTTTCTTTTCTCATTTACACTTCTCTTTCCTTTTCCCTCTACCAAACACAACCTAAAGATAGTAAAAAAGCTTCTTTTCTTCCACAGCTTCAACATAGTAATGAACATGGACACACACCTGTAAAAGATTATCCTTTGTGGCTTCTGGCCAGTTGCCTTTCTGAAGGAGATTAAGAGATCTCTGCAAGAACAAAGTGACAAGAATGAATAAATTTCTTCCCAAACGGAGCCTAAAAAGAATGGAAAGAAAAAAAAAAACCTTATCATGCCACCACTAACAGTTCCACGCGCCGGATCGTGCCATGTCTTGTAAAGATCTTGGATAAGTTCTTGCCTATGAGCTTGAGCACAAACAAGGCCTGCATATTTTGTCACCTCTGGCCAATCCTGCGAAGCTACCACCTACAATTTTGAGCACCAAAAACCAGTCTAATTATATTGTCAAGAAACCAATTCAACCAAAAACTCAAGCTTGTAGTTGTAGACCCAGAAAAGATGAGATTAATGGGGAAGAGCCTTACAGCAGCAATTGAAGGGCTCGAATCCTCTCCGTTCTCCGGGTGAGTGACATCAGCACCAAAGATGATGGTTGGGATATCACTCACTAGAGGAATTCTACAGCTGACCGCGTCCATTAAGACCGTATTTCTACCACCCATCTGTCTCAAAACAATCACAAGTCACAACAAAGTGGAATCATAAACCATTTTCTTCTGAGTGATTTTATAGTACCTTGACATTGATCTTCAATGAGACATTAGCCAAATACTGTTTGCTGATTTTAAAGACATATTTTGTAAGACAGCACTGAGTTATCAGCCCGAGATCGGTCTCACATATCCTCTTTATATCACCTACCATTGAAAAAAACAAAAACAAAGTTAGCTTCAGTTTAATTTAGTCCTCTAAGATATAAAGAAACATCTCATACCATATAAAGACCCATTATTGTCTGGAAGGATGGCCAATAAAAGGTCCAACTCTTTCCCCTTTAGCTTGTTGATACACGAATGGTAAACATGTTTCAATGCTTTCTCAACTTGTTCAGGGCGAGCTGCATGGATTGGAATTACTGGTTCTGGGTTGAACTCCTGCGCGATTTTCATGCACAATTTAATATTGTTCAGGACTTCATAAACCCAGTCTTAAAAAAGACTTATATGTACGAATATGTGTTACTCTTCCCATTGCCATTTGGTTTTGGGTAAGAATCTCATAACTCTACAAATTTGAGTATATTAGGAAGAGGGATTACCATGCCGGATACTTGACACATTTGAGCCAGTTCATTACAAAATCCACGGACAATGCTTTCTTGGACACTTCTAGAGAAGTTAATGCATGCCCATCGGTTAACGGTCATCCCATTGATCATTTTCTGCTCAATGAGAGAAAAGGAAAAGTTTTAAAGACAAAAACCACAGAAAATATATAACTTTTTTTGTATGTGTAGGACTAATGTATTTAACTTTTACCATAAGAAATCATAAGATAAAACTTGAACGTATAGTAAAACTTGCACATATTAAAGAGGCCTATACAATTTGTTCTAACACGAACCTTATTCATCATGTTCCACTGCCCCACATGAGGCAAGCAATCTTTCTCCTTCCCACTTTCACTGAATTTTAACTGCAGTTAAGGGTAGTAGAAAATGTTATGAGAACCAACTATATTTTCTTTAAAGAAACCATAAATACTAGAGATAGTGTTTCTTTACCCAAGGAGCAGGGAGAACCCGGGCTTCAAGAGTAGCCATTTTTTCACTTATTGTAATGCCAAATTCATTTGCATATGGATCTTGATCATATGAATTGTGTTGCACCGTCTGTTTAGGATGGCGCGGCACATTAAAACAACAAAGAAAAAAATGTTTAATAACTTTGAAAAATGTGACATTGGATTATAAACTTTAAATACCTGCAAAACGGAAGCTTCGCGATCCCTTGGTCTTTGGCAAGTGACCTTAAGAAGAGAAGTGATTTGCTTTTCACTTAATCTTTTAGTATACCGTTGGCCTTCCACAATTTTACACGCCTATAAAGTCAAATCATGCACCAAAACTCAAAGTGGGAATTTATGTTTGAGTGACATTTTAAATAAAGAAAAAGGAAAGAAAAGAAAAAAACTCACCTCCATTGGTAAATAATTGGCTTTCTTTTGGTTCCCTACTTGAAGGCAAGGGAGATGAGTATATGCAATAGTGAAGTCATACATTTCTTGGAAATACTCAACCACAGACTTCATGGTTGAGTTTTCATCAACAGGAAACCTACCAAAATCAGCATTATCTAATTATTAGGAAACTAATTAATGAACTGTACAAAGAAAAACATGTAGTTTTATTAAGGAAAATGTATAACTCTTACACAAGTTCTCTGGTGGGCTGCGTAGTCAATCCGGAAACTCGGTACTTTCGTCTAACGTTACCCCTGTGTGTCACTTCCACTTTTACCCCTCTAAGAGCCTTCTTAATCTGAACTTGGAAAAAAATGAAGTCAAATGTGACGTGACAACGGAAATGTAACGTCTTTTTTATATATGATCAAAAGTTCGACCGGTTTTAAATCTAGTGAGCGTACAAGTGTGACGTACCTTAATGCGATCAGCATCCGACAATGGCTTTGATGACACATCTTTTCCCAAAAGTTGGGCAACAAATTCAATAACCGGAAGGGCTTCAATAAATGCAGCCGACGCCATATCTGTTTTTTATGGTCCAAATTTTTTAGTGGAGATGTTAAGGTAGAGAAGATATTAGTAATTGTGTTGCGGAGTACTCCCTCGGTTCACATCTTCAACTAGACATTATGACTTTTGTGATTCATTAAAATTGAAACGAATGTGGACATGACGTATGTCCATATTCATTCAACTTTTTAATGTATCGGGATGGAGTATATGATGAGTAACTTTGAAATGGCCACCACTACAAAACCACATTTGAGATGAAGTTATGAATTACCAATGTTCAAGGATAAGCCCATCTGAGTAGGCCTAATGCTTTGGTAGAATCCACACCATGCCTCTAAACCATCCCCAAGCCGCTGAGGTTTCCGGAAATCCGGTGAAAAAAACGATCTTCCCACCGGACAATACCTTAAAAAATTTCAAATCTTAACACCCACACCACTAAACTCATTTGGTCTAAAGATTTATCCAAAGCATTATGCATAATATGTATATATATACCTCTTCATTGATGCCTCTCTCAACACAATGTCCAGAATTTTAAGAGTTTCTTGTGGGCCATCGGCCCGCTTACCCGCAAGGAATTGGTTCATATGGTGCAAGTTTGATCTTGCTACAAATCTTACCACTACTTTGTACTCCCTTTCCCTCCTGAAATTAGTCCAAATCTTCCATTAACTTTCTACTTTGATTATTTCCTCTCTTTTTTCCTCATGAGATTAACACATCTTTATATAAAAAATGGGAAAGTCTTACTTTGGACCATTGATTCCATCATCTTCATCAATGAGTTTAATGGTGAATTCCTTCCATGAAAATGGAAGCTCTCCAGCTGTGTACAAACTGTTCCTCCCATCATAAACAGGTAATCTCATCCCCAAATCTGATTCCTTGTATAGTTTCACCAGCTCTGCAATTATAGCTCTGTTCACTGTTCTTGATGAGACTTCAGGTGTAATAGTGACCTTCAAGAAGAAAAAAACAGAAACCCAGTGAAAGAAAAAGGTGAATAACTAAAGAGTAAAGATCTATTCTTTTGCAGCCAAATTTACCAAACTAAACTGAACAGTGATTAATTGGACTGAAAACAAGTTAGAAAACAATGTTCCCTGAACAGAGGAACTACAAGAATCAAGATGGCATTGGTGACCAAATATAGGGAGACATAAATTCAATGCTACAAAAAGCAAAGGACAAATGAGGAAGGGACCTTACTCATTATTTACTTAATCACATTTTTAGAAAAATTTTCCAAAGATAACTCAACATTTCCCACAAATACAGTAATTTTCAACTCTTAATTACCATCTTCCAATGAAAAACAGAAAAGAAAGCAATATTAAGCCATATAATTAAACTGGCTCTAAGGGACCCATTATAGTAATGAAATTCTGCCAAAAAAATTAAATTTTAAAAAAAAAAGATCAAAAAAACAAATTGGATTTGTTTTTTAACCCAAAGGGAAGCAGCCTTACATCGTACTGGTTCAAGTCCTTGTCGGGTAGCTCTGCTAAGAAATGGTTGGCCTTCACTATGCACTTAACCCCAAGAGTTCCATAGCCAGGCCTAGAGGCAAAGCTCAAAGACTTGCTAGAGCATGGAAACCCCAAATCAGATACTTCAACCACAACCCCACCTTCGTCCGGCTTGTGCGCCGCCGCCGCAGCCGCCGTGCACGGCCTTGAGGTTGGCCGCATAAAGGCCTCGCCTTGATCCAATTTCCGGCCGCCCCTCCCCCTCCTCCTCCCTCTGCTCTTCGCCGGAACCGGCGGAGGGGATATCTTGCTCTGGGTTTTCCCGTTCACCGGTTCTTGATTCGGCGGCGGCGGCTGGCCCTTTCCGTTGCTGCTCCGAAACTGGGCTCTGATCACAAACTGCTGTTCTGGGCATTCCTTCATCTGCCTCGCAGGCATGGCGGTGAAATCTCAAGGCAAAGTGAGAAATTGAAACGGCTCAGAAGGAGTTAAAGCGATTCCTGAAGATGAGAAAGAGAAGAGATGTCAGCAGGAGGAAACTTGTTGGAAAAAATTTGTATACAAATATAGAAATCTGATGAAACAGAACCAAATCTTCCATACGCAAAAGAAAAAGAAGAAATTATGGGCAATGCATTAATTACTACTGACTCACTGAAAACAGTACAAGAACAAGATAACACAAAAGCCCCAATTTTTTAAATCGATTTTATTTGCATAGATAGAAACAAAAACTAACTTATTCACCGCCAAAACTGGAAAATACAGTAAGAATTTTCGGTTCTTTGGGCTAACCCATTGCCAAAAGCAAACCCCTGACGGTTGCAGAAATTATTATGAACTGGGACAAATATGAAAAACATTTCCAAGAATTGGATGGTAGTTTATTAGTTTGCCTGTGTTGGGAACCTAAAAGTCCTTGAATCAAGGAAGAAGACGAGGAAATTCAACCGGTTGGTAAATCAATTGAAAGAAAGATTCAAACTTTTACCTCTTTGACCAAACTCCACATCCAAAAGACCAAAACCAAAGCTTTCTAGGAGAATAAAAACAGAAAAAATGTAGAGAATCCAAGGGAAAAAAGACACAAAAACGGAGCAAGAGTAGGTGTGAAACCAAATCTGACTGCTCAAAGAGAGAATAAAACGCCTTGAAAGTAACAAATAATTAATACTCCCTCCGTCCCTAAATATTCACAACATTTGCTTTTTCAGTAGTGTCGGGAACTTTTGTTTATTTTGACGTTTTCATTGATTATTTAATAAAATAAAATATTCTTGACACCTCTTATTTCGAAGAACTTTTCATGTAGTTTTTTTATATGTAAATTTTATTTTTTATTTCTTTACCAATATGTAAATAAAATGAATTGAAAAAACTTGATATTTTACCTTGGAAATACAAATGTGGCAAATAATTTGGGACGGAGGGAGTAGTATATGCACCGTGTCCTCTCTCTCTCTTTCTCTCTCTCTCTAGCCTATACTCATAAGAGCTACTCACTAGCTAGGGACCTAAACAGATAAAAGGAATAAACATTGAAGAAATCACTGGAATCAAAATCTGAAATCGGCCCATCTTTTACTGAGACATAAGCACAGTGAAAATGACTCAACATGGAAGCTAAGTGTATGTGCATACAAAGAAATAATGCAGCTAAAAGGGGGAGGGAACAAGGCCTGGTAAAAAAAAGGCTAATAAAGATTTGAGCTTTATCAAAACCCACCATTGAATGGACCATAAAGGAGGCGTATGAAGCTTTTTAGATGACAAAAAAGAAAGCAAGAAAACAGCAGCTACTTTCTTTCCTTGAATTGATTATATTATTGGACAGGATCGGAGCAGCAATATAAAGGGCTTTAGGGAAAGAAAGAAAGAAAGAAAGAAAGAAAGGGATGATGCTATGGCTCAACACATTAAACGTGAATGGTGAGTTTGAAAGCAGATAAGATTACTGATTAGAGGGGTGAAAAGGGAAGGTGAAGCAAAGAAAGAGTGATTGAGAGTATGAACGGCAAATGGGAGATGATGATGATTGATGATGATGAATTCTTTAAAGACGCGCATGCAAGTGCTTTTACTTGTTGACACCACTCACGTGTAAAAAGCCTCTCTTGGGCCCCACTCTCTTCATATCGCTCAATTACGGAGTTCGTAATTTTGAACGATAGGAAGAGATAAGTTACAATCTTTTTTGAAGTGATGACATGTTAACAAGATGTACGATTTAAAGGTATGTTTAGAAGTAAGGAGTGAGCTTATGGACCATTCGCATATCTGCAAGTACGGTCTTCTAGACTAGTGAGTATCTAATTCAGTGCCGCATAGAGTTTTTGTCTCGTCCTACACTTGGTGTTCGTACACACAAGGACCGAACAAATCGCTTGAAGAGAAAATCCCAAATATAAGATGAGCATCTCTCTAAATTCCAACTTCAAGTGGACTAGAGCGACGAATAAGTATGTCTTCAGGGATTTAAATGACTTTTGACAATTTTCAACCAACAATAAATTTTCACCTTATTGACAACTTAACACAATTGGAATGCTCGATGGTTGACTTTGGAGAGGAAGTTATTATGAGTGTCTTATTTACTAGTCAAATAGTGCACTTCCTTGGCATTTATATGTGGTTCTATGTAGTGTAACCCCTCCTAGAGTTGCTCTCGGTCCCCCGTCAGCTCTCCATGTGCAACAAGAACTTCCCAAACCACCTCAACCGCTAAAGATGTACTCCTTTGATATTTTCCTATTTTAGTTTAATTCTTGTTTTAGAATAAATAGAATATTGGCAGGAATGAAAGTTTACTTATTTGCTTTATCATCTTCTTACATAAAGAGAGTTGAGTCTTTGTAATCTCCAAAACCATTCAATACAGAATCATTCTCCATTTTTATTTTCTACACTTTTGTAGGCCAGAATCACTAATATTAACGCTCTCAAAATATCCAAGCCTAAGCTGGTTATGACCAAACGAGTATGGACAAGTGATGTATACTAATCCGTAGGTCCAAGCCGTATCGAAGGCTGGGGTTTCTTGTGATAGGGCCACAATGTGGTGGTTGGCTAATATAAAATGTTTTCCCTCTATAGTTTTTGTCTGGGGTGTAGCTCAACTAATCGAGAAGGTAGTGCCACATGAGTAAATCAGTGTTTGAATCCTAATAATGACAATTGTATTTTGATCGTAAATTGATAACAAAAGTAAAACATGCACCTGATACTTAAAAAATTTTATGCTTATCATAATTGAAGGTTCAACATTTTAAAAAAAACAGGGCACCATAACAAAGCAGTCAAGGCCTTCCTTGGTAAGATGTAACGGTCGGGTTCCATCTCCCTATGCAAGGAATGGTCATTTGGTCCCCCGTTTTAATTATTATTTTTTCTTTTTAATTAATATCCTTTTTAATGTTTTGTCCTTTTTATTGGGCCCTCAATTTGTCGAATTAATTATCTGCGTTTTGTATGCATGGGAATGATTAGCTCTTGCTTGGACAAAATTAAACTCCCTCACACCATTTACGTTTCTATCTTTTCCGTAAATTTAGTCCGATTGCTCATTTTTTTCATGTACTCTCTATGTTCCAAAATAGAAGTTCAGTTCCCTATATTACGGGTTCTCAATAAATACGGAGTACTTTTTATTTGTTTATATGTTTTCATTGATCATTTCATTAAATAAAATATTATATATTTGTTAATTTTTATCTTTTAAAATTTGTTTGTGTAGTTTGAATTATGTAATTCATACTTTCTATTTCTATATTAATTTATAATTAAAATGATTTTAAAAGTAATGAGATTTTGCACATTATTTGCACGTTGTATGTAGTTATTAGTCAGAATATCATTCCAATCGAAGTTATGTACTTGCCGAGACGCGAGACTTAAAATTTCATGCTGGAGACTTAGCGATTCGAGACTTCTGTTCGCTATTATTTTTAGTTAACTTGAGTTTAGAGAATTAAAATATTAAGGCATGGAATTTTGAAATTATCAGTTTTGGATTTCACACCTAAACTCAAGAGTTTGATAAATGGATAATTAAAGTTAAAAGGTTGAGGTAAACGTATCTTTCGTCTTAAAATTTTCTTCCTTATTTGAACGTACTTACACAATAATTTAATAAGAAAAGTTAAGTTTTGTTGCTGCAAATGATTTACAAGCTAGAAAAAACAAGAGTCGCACAAACATTTTTTATTCGAATGTAAATATTAGGTCAATCTAAAAAGAGATTACAAACTCTAGTTATAACATGAACGGGAGAGACTAGACCTGTCAAAAAAAGACTCGACCTGTTTTTGACCCGAAATCCGACTCAAAAATACTGATTTTGATCAAAGGTTTTACTGATCGAACTCAAATTTACCCTTTAAAAATGGGTTTAATCCGACCGAACCCGAACTCTACCTGACCCACCCGCTAATGTGAGAATTTTTCAAAATCATATACTTTAATATGAAATATAATGTTTTAAAAATAAGATTTTAATTATATTTCTTTGCTTTCTACTCATTTTTAATGTATATATATATTTATATTTTTATACAAAATTTTAATGATATCGCAAAATTATCTTATTTTTTTCAAAATTTCCTGTATATTTAGATTTTTTTGTAATATTGAGAATCGGTCATAAAAATTACTTAAAATTTTAAAAAATAAATGAAAGTCATAACCCGTTGGGTCGACCCAAACTCGATGATATTGGGTCATGGACATGTAGCTCTCAACCCAAACCAAAACTTATCCGAACCCGAAGTAACCTGTACCAAGGTGATCGAACCCGAACCCAATCTGACCGACCGTTTTGCCAGCTCTAGGAGAGACCATAATGTACTCTCTTCATCCCTTTAAAGTATCTAGTAAAGTGTACATCCTTCGTCCCCCATAGATCTTCTCATTAGTTATTTTTCTCAGTGGCAGTTCGATCATGTCTGAGAGAGCCCTCGGAGCACTCGGAGATGAGGCTCGTCCTTTTTTCCCTCATTAACCTTTTTGATTTGTTCTCCATAAATTTTCTCATTGGTCTTGTTAACATCTAAAATAACATAACTACGAGTTTATTGCACCATGTCCCATTGTGGTTTGGTTAATGTACGTCGTTACCCCCTATGATTTCAAAACTTACGTCGTCGCCACTCATGGTTCTGATATTGTAACGTCAATGCCCATCTAGACTAAAATATCTTTCAAATATTATGTGAATAGCTCCACTGCCCCTATTTTGAAAATTGGCACAAACGTCCTCTCTTTTCTTTATTGTTATAATTTTCTTTTTTCTACTATTTTATTCATGAATGTTTTTATTTCTTTTTTAAAATAATTTTTTATAATGTTTTAATAATCAAATTTTTTTGTAATTGCAATAAAAGTCAATTAAATAACAAGAATTTACGTACGTACACTTCATTTGTCTCAAATTAAATATTTTTATTTTTGTCCAAAAGAGGTCTTTATTAATTCATTTTCATGATACAAAAATTAATAAAATATTCTCCTTTTTTCACTAAAGCTCATTTCTCATTTTTTCTGTTCATTAATTTTGTACTGTTTCTTTTATTTTAATCAAAATTAAAATAAAAGAAAAAAAATATTATAAAAGAAAATATAGAAAAAAGAAAAATAATGAAAAATACTATTATAGAATAAGGAAAATAAGTCATGAAGGAAATATTTTGTACACCATTCCAAAAATACTATTAATATATAATTAACTATATATTATAATTAGTTAGTTTTCGTTTGGTCCCGACATATTAAAAAACATAAAGAAAAATTTAGACAAAAAACGAAAAATATTTAATTTGAAAAGTGAAGTATATGTTAAATCTTTTATTTCAAACACAAACATTTTAAAAATGTAGGTTTGAAAAAATATTTTTTTATTATTTCACACACAAACATTTTTCATCTTTTTATGGTAAAAGAAAAGAAAAACAATAAATAAAAAGTAGCGGGGACATTGGCGCCCATTTCCAAAGCCATAGGGGGTAGCGAAGTTATTCACCTAATATTTGAAGGAAATTTTTGTCCAAATGGAGCATTGACGTAACAATATCAGAATCATGAGACGCAACGGCTTACATTTTGAAATCATGGGGGGATAATGTTGCACATTCACAAAACCATATGCGGCGTTGGTGCAATTAACTCTCATAACTACCCCACTTTATTTATTACACCTCATTCAACTCATTTAATATGTTCCACCCATTTTCATTAATGATATTTTAGTGAATTTTCATTTTTTTGCAACACTCATTAAAAACCACAAAAAATCAAAATGAGAATATCTTAGGATGACAGAAGGAGTATGGTATATGCTTATGTATAGAAGAGAAATAATATGAACCCTAAATTTCATTCTTAAAATGGAATAGGAAATTCGTATTGAGGCGACTAAAAAGGAAATAAGAAAATCTTTCAAGGACGAATAGGGTAGTAAAATGGTTGAACCCAAACTATAAGGTAGTAAAGTCCATTCAGTATATGTCTGGCCAGTTGCTTGTGATGATCGAGATTAATTGAATTAGGCTCCGTTCCGTTCAACTTATTTTTTCTGATCTGATCTGTAACTAATAAGTTCTGATCTGATCTGATCTGATTGGATCTGATCTGATCTGATTGGATCTGATCTGATCTGATCTGATTGGATCTGATCTGATCTGATCTGATTGGATCTGATCTGATCTGATTGAATCTGATCTGATCTGATTGGGTCTGATCTTATCTGATTAGATCTAATCTGATCTGATTGGATCTGATCTGATCTGATTGGACATGATCTGATCTGATTGGATCTTATCTGATCTGATTGGATCTGATCTGATCTAATTAATTATGATTTAATT